TTTACCCAATATACCAGACTGAGCTAAAAACCATAAGCGATCAACCGACAAATGTCCTAATCTAGAATGCCACAAGTAGAAAGGAATAGACAGAGAATCTAACTGAAAAGAGGAAAAGACAATCGGAGAGGTTGCCATAGGCAGATGTAAGCTCCCCACCACATAGAGGTCTCCAACTCTACGGCTGATCCCAATCTGCTGCTTAGACATCCGATCCTACACAGAACAATAAGAAGAAGAAAAGATAACATCAAAACTAAAAGCATTAAGCTGACTGATAAATAATAAATTAATAGATAATTAAGGAACATAAAGGACAGATGAAATAAAGACAACAAACATAGTAGACGGTAAGACAGACCTAACAAATATAACAGACATATCAGACTCATTAGCAGCATTGACAGTAATAGGAAAGGGAGGAGGAGGACAATTTTGAAGTAAGGAAAGATGGGGAGTCATATGATGAGAGGCACCAGAGTGAAATATCTAGACAAACAAAGAAATATCTGAAGAAGATCCAAGCAAACCTGAATGAAGAGAGGAAATAATGGAGGCAAACAGAGATGGATGGGAGATAGACAATATATGCTGAAGTTAACTATTCTGAGCACTCAAGGAAGCCAAATCAGGATCAAGAGTCGCAGTAGATGCAATAGAACTGGTGGGAGGTTGAAAAGGCAAACGTCCCTTCTTGGAACAATGATACTTCCAATGGCCTCTCTGATGACAGAAGTCACACTTATTTGATGCCAATGGCCTCTTTTTGAGCTTTGTAGGAGGTTGAAGCTGATGAGTATTTGTCATTATGAGTCTATTTGTAAACAAGAACGATAAACACTCACAATATTGGAAGTCAAATGGGTCCGAACAAAACCAGAAATACACATTGTGGTCAAAACGTAATGAGGGAGAAACTCCAGAGCAGGGTCAAAATGTAATAAGAGAGAAACTTCAGAACAAGTTAAAGGACCAAAGCAAACTCAGCGAGAGAGAGATCACCAACTGAAGTGAAGCCGAGAGAGACAAATGGAGGTCAAGAGAACCAAAAGGAGAGAGACAGACTGAGTCGAAGCACTACTACCATGTTAAAGGTCAAGAGACGAACCGAAGGTCGACCAAATGGGTCACTAGAACCAGACCTAGACGAACCAGACCCAGACAAACCAGACCAAGCCAAGGAAAAGAGACGAACAAACGACCCACGAAGCAAGGAGCTTCGATTGACAACTAGGTTTGACAAAGAGATTGATCGCGAACAAGTTTGAATCAATGACTCGCGATTCTGGTGACAGGAGATGATCACCCAACGAAGCTCAAATCAGACGACTGGATTAAAGAGGGTCTCCAACACTCTTCAACCGACGATGTAGGGTTTCGTGACCTACTTTGATATCATTTAAGATTCTGAATAAATATTCAACTTTTGCTCAATACAAAGATTACAACTGATATATATATATAGCAAACCTAAACCTAAGCTGAAATAGAAAATAATAACCCTATGCAATCAATCTATATATGCACACAATCAATCTAAAATATATTTCCATAATTGACATACATTCTCACAGGGGGTCCACCAGTTCATATGAAGAAAAATAAAAATAAAAATAAAAAATGCTTTCTTTTATAGATTTTATAGGTGATTTGAGAGTAGGAGCTTAGCTGTCTTTCTCCTGGATACATCATGCTTACTCTGGTCGCATCTCCTTTTGATTCTTCTATTTTTTGCCGTTAATTCTCATATAAATAAAGTGAAATAATTTTTATTTTCTAAAAAACAATGCATCCTTTGCATGCTGGACTTGTTTAGCCTTGCGAGCTATGTTACATGGACTCTTCAAAATAAATGAAATACCCGTGTCAGAAACCTGACACTCAGACAAGAGTATGGGATATGTGTCGGCTACTTTTCAACGGACACTTCTTATATAATTGTATATAATACTATTATTATATATATATATTGTTATATAATTACTATAAATGTCTTTTTGACACTGTGTAAGTTACATATAGCACTACTTTATCTCACGAACTTTATTAAAAATATAAAAATAACATTTTTTTTTTGCTAAGTCCACGTATCCTTAAATTTATGGTTTGATGAGTCCGACCTCCAGATACATATCCGCACCCGACACCCATACCCGAGTCCATGCAAAATAGCTTGCGAGTGATGAAATTTCTTCTAAAAATTATTTGGACGTCGACGGGCTGCAATCAACACATTTCTAGGAGCATCATATCGAGACAATGATGTACATGGACAAAGTTGATTCTAAGTAGCATTTCTGCTTCATAGGTTGGAACTGGTATGTCTCTGATAGGTTATGCTTGTACAATCTCTTTTGGAGTGCCTCGCTTTTGTAATGGACTACGTAACTTGCATCAGATGATATTGTGGTGTAACTAGTAGTTCAATGTTAAAGAATTACAAATGTCCGTCAATTTTACCCAAAGGAAGGAAAAGAAGATTATAAAGATCTTTTTAGTAAGCACATATTGAGATGCTTAATCTTGTGCCTTATAGATCATATGGACACCAAACTATTTCGTTCTTACATTCTCCTGACCTGGAATAACTTTCTTCTATGGTAAATCTCTTTCTTTTCGAGGAAGTCCCCCTCTTTTTTCTTCAGATTCTCTAGTTCCTCCACCTTCTTCTGTATATGAATAACAATTATTATACTTCTTATAAGTTAATAGTCATGAATTGTAGGCATTGAATCATGGAGGTCAGTCATTTCCATAATTGGGATTTTTGGCTATGACAAACTTGGTAGTGTAAAAACTTCAACACTTCGTGCTAATGTGCTTAATGGTCATATGAAGCACGAAGTAGGAGCCAGAATATGTTCCTTCTTAGGAATGTTCAAGATTTTGTGTGTGAACATGTCCAAACATATCGACGTGCATATATATAGGCTTGTGTGTACGAGTGCATTTCCATACAGATTAAAATAAAATCTCTACTAATCATAATCTATAAAGCACGGATATCTCTCTAGAGCGAACGTATGGGTGTCCGACACATGTCGAACACGGACACGCGTCGAACACACAGTAGAAACCCTAACCCATTGAAGACAGAGAGAGAGAGAGGGTGAAGAATCTGTTGAAGCCCGAGATCGAGTATGTTTGTCTTCTTTTGCTTGAATCTGTTCGTCTTCTTCTAGATCAAGTCTATTGGTCTTCTTTTTCAAATCTGTCCGTCTTCTTCTGTTCATCTCTCTCTCTCTCTCTCTCTCTCTCTCTCTCTTCTATTCATTATTTCTTTTTTGGAAAATTTAGCCAAAACCCTTCCATTGGACTCTTGTTTGGTGAAAAAGACAGCACAATTTATTTTACTTCATAAATTGCCTAAGCAGAAAACACATAATTGAGTAAGGATAAAATAAAAAATAAATATATACATATATATATTTTTCTTCTTTTTCAAATCTGTCCGTCTTCTTCTGTTCATCTCTCTCTCTCTCTCTCTCTCTCTCTCTCTCTTCTATTCATTATTTCTTTTTTGGAAAATTTAGCCAAAACCCTTCCATTGGACTCTTGTTTGGTGAAAAAGACAGCACAATTTATTTTACTTCATAAATCGCCTAAGCAGAAAACACATAATTGAGTAAGGACAAAATAAAAAATATATATATACATATATATATTTTTTTCTCTTAGATAATATTGCCAAAGTAACATGTTAATGTGAAACAGAACAACTGTCAAACAAAGTAACATGTTATTGTGACTGTTTACATCAATTTCGACGGTAATAATTTTTTTTTTTTTTTTTTAAATTTCATAGTTAACATGTATCTTATTTGATAGATTTTGATGAGAGAATTTTAAAAATACTAATTTTATTAAAAACCGACATCTACGTCAAAAGTTCTATAATTTTAAAATTTAATATTTTGATAATAACAGTATGTGTTAGACTTTTCAAGGAAAACTTTTTATACTTGTTCTTAATACATTAAAGTTTTATTATGAGGGGTTTTGACCAAATTCCCCTTCTGTTTTTATTTATTTATTTATTTTTCCCCACTCTCTATCTCTGTCTGTCTTTGATAAATGAATTTTTTTTTTATAGTACCCTGTTTTTTTTTGGTTTTTCAGTCTAATCAGATATAAATAGGATTGTAAATTTACTTTTTTGTAGGTTTTTTTTTTTGTGGATATTCTTGTTTTCTAAACATTAACATATATTGAATAAATTTTTTTTATTTGTAGAAAAAAAAATTTGTGAATGATATTTGATATTAAAGTAAATAAATAAATATAAATAGTATAAATTTTTTTAATTTTACATATAATAAATAAATAAAATTATATATATTGAGCGTGCTTCCAATGTGTCGTGTCACTCATTTTTGAAAACTTGCATGTCCATGTATCCATGTCGTGTCCCGTGTCCATGTCCATGCTTCATAGACCATAATCAAACGAAGAATTATTTTTATTTTTTTCTCTCAACAAGTTATCCTTCTATTTTCTTGGATAGCAAGTAGTTATTGTTCTTCATTAATAAAACTGTTACAAATTTTTGCAAACTTCTCTCGTGTTCAGAATTTGTATTGGTATAAGCGTGATTGTGCCAAAAGTGAAGTGAAGACTTTTACCGAGGGTGTGGGTAGGACACATAGAAATGTGGGTTTGGAGCCCAAGTGGCGCTTAAGTAGAGATCCTGCTGTTGAGCTCCGACTTAAAAATGAATAGGAAAAAAGAGGAATCTGGATAATGTTTTTGCATAATGCATGTATAATTACAAAACCATGCTATTAGAAACTTGATTCAAATGGTTTTCAACATGTTGGGTGAGAAGCAGATATGCATAAATTGCATTAATTAAGTAAGGTGTTGATGTAATACTGGAAAGTTTGTTCTTATTACCCTGGTTCAGAGATCATGTCTTCTAAGAAATGGAATTCATCACTGAGAGTATATCACAATTTTAAGTTTGTCATTTTTTCTTTTGATTCTCTTTGTTTTTGTTGCAGGTTTGGGATGTATTAAGCAATGAGGAAGTAGTTGAGATCGTATCATCAGTTCCAACCCGGTCTTCAGCTGCAAGAATCCTGGTTGACTCTGCAGCACGCGAATGGAAATCCAAATACCCAACATCAAAAATGGATGATTGTGCGGTGGTTTGCTTATTTTTGGATGGGAAAATGGACTCAGAATCCGACTATGATGAACAAGGCTTCTCTTCTGCAACGCTTCAGAGCAATCATTCCGGTAATGTTCTGGAATCAGATGATGGTGGCCAGCACTCTGAGCCATCGTTGCAGAGAAATTTCACTGTCAGATCCTCTGAAGAAAACGATCCCAACAAAAGGCTACCAGTTGAGGCTGAAGTAAATGAGGAAACTGTAGTTTACGAAGATCAGAATTGGTCGGGTTTGGAAGGTGTTACTCGTGTGAACTCACTTGTTCAACTTCCCAGATTTTCTGAGGAAAGACCAAAAACCTCATAATGTTTGTGATTTCTGAGAAACTGAACTGGGATTTGATTTGTTTTTAATGCCTGGCTTCTCGGCCTCACAAATGCAAGCAATGGAAAATCTGCCTGGACTGGTGGCATCGTGTTGAAAGTTAATTAGATTATTTTTCTATTTTCACATTTTATTTATTCATATTGCACAACAATAGGACATTTTTAAGTAGTGTTTGGTTCATTGGAATGAAGACATTGAACAGAATGGACGAGAATAGGGAAATGAATCCATACCAAAACACAATTAATCTGACGGAAAATTGAAGGGATTTGATGGGGGAAAAAATTAAATGCCAAAATATATTATCATCCTTTTTACGTAGTTGGCCTTTTCGTTTCAATCACCCTCCAAATTCCAGTTTCAAGTTTTTGATGCACAATGCTGTTCTCACCAGGTACAAGATTCATTCTCTCTTCCTTGTAATTTTTTCAAAGGAAAATAATTCCTAGTTATTTTCTTTTCCTTTTCATTAATCTTAATCGTCTCATTCCTTTCCTTTCGCTCCAGCTCAAAATCTTCCCAGCCAAGAGTGTTTCCAATTTAGGAGGAAAAGCATATGACGGGGTTGTCTTCAGATTTTAAATTTATAATTTATGTGGGCTTTGTTTAGGTTTTGAACTTGATCAGAGATTTGTACAGGAAAAAGGATGAATTTAATTCTGCTTGTCATTTTTTAATTTTTTTTTTTCTCTCACACAATTTTTTTTTTTTCAAATTTAAGATCTAAGCACAACTGTAGGACTTAGAATGAAAAAGAAAATAAAAAGGAAAAAAGAATATTTCATTCATTTTTTTTTAATAATCATTTTCCATTTTGTTTACCTCTATAAACTATTCTACAAATATGTCATTTAGATACAATAAAAAAAGTGAAGACTTGTCTAACATAATAGATTGTGGACGGCTCGAATTTGTCCTGCATGGGTCCGTTAAAAATTCTTGACTTACCTTATAAGTGTGTCATACTCACAAATTTTCAAAAGACATTTTCTAATGAAGAAAGAACAAAATCATGCATGCCCCCGTGGTACAAAACAGAAATATATTGGTGCGTGCTACAACAGTGGGGTGGTTTACACAAATGGCGCCATATGTGGAAACGTCCACTGATTGCTTCATAATAAACACCAAGGATTCTCTAGAGTGAAATTTCTCTAAAGTTTCCTAAAGTACTACATTGTGTGGTTAAGATCTAAGAAACTTTAGAAAAAAATCACTCTAGAGGATCCTTACTCCATAATAAATTCCAGCTATGGGAATCAAAGATACTCCACAACCTAATCTTGGATAGAGGACTTCGGAGAAGGAGAAAGCCAAGGACAAGGGTCTAGCCTTCTCTATTGGACACGACGACCCTATTGACCATGAGGGTCCCATCTACGGAATCGAAGATACTCCACAACCTGATCTTGGAGAGAGGACTTCGGAGAGGGAGAGAACCAAGGACAAGGGTCTGGCCTTCTTCACTGGACAGAACGACCCTATTGACCATGAGAGTCATATCCACGATACGGCGAAACGACATCATGCAGTTGTTGCTGAGTCATCTTTAGCGTTTGTTCATTAAGAAGGACCATTGTGACCGCATCATCGACTCCATGGGCATAAAGATCATTGAACTTCGTGCCTAGTTGAAAAAGCACATGGTGCCTCCGACGGAGCCAAGGAAGTCCAGAGAGAGGATATCACAATATAAGAGATGTACTCCTCCTCCTCATCCGTAGCCTCGAAAAGAGTATTTTGACCGAGTTTATGCTCGCGGAGAATGTACCAGACCAATTCCAATGCGAAGCGAGAGGGCAAGTAGCTGAACGAACAACGCATATTCGAACCAACGGTGGAGTAGCTCTCAAAGCATCGGTGCACCAAAGACCCTTTATCCAGGTAGTTAGTGAAGGAAGAAGTAGCCACACCTATGGCCTAAGACATAATGAATCAGTGCTCACGAAAGTATCAAAGGACCAGATTCATATTGACAAATGAAGCCTATATACGATGGAGCACCTTTATATCCTTGCTATTGGGTACCGACCAAGTGAAATGACTTTCATGACAGAGAAGATGAAGAACAAGAGATTGGCGCTCCAGAGTGTTGGAAGACCAGATCTGTATCGACAAACAAAATTTGGATACGGCGTTGCACCGCTGCATCATTACTTGTGAAACGTTTCTCTTCCTCATTCTAGAGAAGAAGTTCATGACGGAATAAACAATCTCAAAATGGCGAATCTGTTCTGATGAAAACTAGACCAACACCGATGAATGAAGTCCGGATAGAGCAGAGCACAATCACATCATTGCTAATGATGTGTTTCTCCTTCTCATACTAGAGGACTTTGTAATGAAAAAGACAATGCAAAACACTAGGTCTGTCGAAAGGCTAATTTGTATCGACGGTGACCAGATCTACATCGACGAGGACAAAAAAACTTCAGATACGGTAGAGCTCTGTCGGGTCACCACTGGCGAGCCGCTCCACCACCTCCTTCTAGGGAGGGAACACGAGACCTACATCATCGATTCAATGAGGATGAAAATCTTAGAGCAGAAGAAATCGGGCGGAACAGAAGAAATCGGGCGGAGAACCATCTCAACTTTAGTAGAAGGGCCTATCTTCAAATCCATCGATGGGCATAAATAACGAAGCTCATCCTCCGTTGGATGCGAACTAGTACCCTCGAATTGTCCGAGCAACATGTTGGCACGACCCGTTTGGTATACCTCCTTATTAGAGTGTGAGACACAATTAATTTTGAAAAAAAAATTTAATTTAATTTAGTATTAATTATAATATATTTTTATATATTATATTTAATTTGTAAAGACCCAATCTAATTTAAAAACAACTAAGGTTTGATAATAAATCCTAAATTCATAATATTTTAGCATTTTGGTTTTTTGCTCATCCCAAGGGTTGCACGGCTTTTACATACACATTGTTCTCTTCTTCCGAATGTGTGGCTGCTATAGAATAATTGATTGGAAAAGTCAATTCGGGGTCAAGGTGTGGCTTTGTATATTACTTTCACAAACCAGCAACAGTGTGTTTTCATTGGTGCTCTATTTTGAAGCGTTTTGGTTTTGTTTTGGGTGAAATTTTTGGGGTCTTCTTCAATTCTGGTTCTGAAGATTTTGGTTCATCTATTTGGTGAGGTCTTTCTTCTTGTTTATTTGTGATTATTTGGAATTCACCTAAGGGTGGTTTTGTGAGACCATTAGTGTCTCGTTTGTAATCGTTTGGAACTTATTTGATTGATAGTGGAATCGGATTTCGATCCCGTAGACGTACCTCACATTGAGGGAACCGCGTAAAAATTCTTGTGTTGTTTTTTATTTAATTTTTCCGCATTAGTTTTTATTCCCATTGATTGATTTACTTGTGGGGGATTACATATTTTCTCTAACAACTGGTATCAGAGCCTACGGTTTATTTGGGCCTATTTATTTGTGTAAATCAATGGAGGGGAATGTGGGTCGTATGTCTAGCTTCAATGGAAGCAATTGGGTAACTTGAAAAACTAAAATGGAGGACCTATTATTTTGTAAAGATTTGTATGGACCCATTGAGGGTGATTCTAGCAAACCCGAGGGTATGAAAGATGATGAATGGAATAGGCTTAATCGAAAAGCCGTTGGTGTTATCCGTAAATGGATCGATGATAGTGTATTTCATCATGTTGCTACTGAAACTTCGGCACATGATTTATGGAAAAAATTAGAGAGTCTTTATGATAGAAAATCAGCCACAAATAAAACCTTTCTGTTTCGTAAGTTGTTTAATTTAAAATATAAAGATGGCAGCCCCATTCCAGAACATTTGAATGAAATAAAAAGTATTGTTAACCAACTTGCTTGTATGAAAATTATTTTTGATGATGAGTTACAGGCTTTGATGCTACTTAGTTCTTTGCCCGAAAGTTGGGAGACTTTAGTTGTGACCGTTAGTAATTCGACGCCCGATGGAGTTGTCACAATAGGCCAAGTCACTAGTAGCCTGTTGAATGAAGAAACTAGAAGAAAATCAACGGGTTCCTCTGTAGACGTCCCCGAACGCCCCGGGAGGGTGAGTCCCGTTCTGTTCATTTGGGGTCACTACAGCTCAGGACTCTTAAATTGTCACGGTTCTAAATCTGAACCAAAGAGTCCAAATCCAGCAAATCGTTTTGAGAAAACAGATTTTTTGAAAGAAGTGCCAAACATGGACTGCTTTGCCAGATATAGAGTCGCCACCTAAATATTTTAAAATGGGAGAATTTAGGAAACCCAACTCGCTTGCCTAAGGCCACGTGTCCGTCATCACCAAAGTTGCCTCAGCTCGGGAACTTGGGTACGATTGGGGAAGGTCACTTCATGAGCACCCCCGCTCGCCCGATCAGAGATCGGCCTCAACTAACCATGATATCAAGTTTTGAAAACATTATGTGTTCTTATTCCGGTTATTAGCCTAGATTTACTATGTGATGCGCACAGCATACAAGTATAGGACCGGGTTGCCTGAATTGGAACAAAACATTTCGTGTTTGTTTTTTTAAAGATGGTTTGATGGTGCTACTCGCAAGTAGGCTAAACGGGATTTGCCACCCTTGGGTGGGCTTAGAAAACATGATTTTGCCACTATCTAGTGGGCTTAAAACACACATTTGATGAATTGTTCCAATCAAATAACCCAACCTTCACCCACAGGCATTCAGGCAGTTATATCACATAAGCATATAGCTTCGGTAAGCATGCTATCATGGCAGTCACTCACACGCATGCAAGGATGCTAAAGCATAAACTTACTGAGTACTCCAAGCCAAAACAGAAGCTAAGTTAGAAATCCATGCATGATCCTAACTGTACAGAAATTCCTAATGCAACACATGCAAAAATGCAACTATAGCAGGCTCGGCTATTCTAAACATGGCATATGAAATGCTACAACTAACATGTATTCAACTTGAAATCGAAAATACAATGCAGTTAGTGTGATGCGCCGAGCCCGGTGACATGCAAAACAGATGAATGAATGCAAACATGCTATCATACTGTATGCTAATTGAAATATGCCCTAATCTAACCATCATAAGTGGTAAATAAAAGGAAGAAAGACGTGGGGTTGGAAGACATGCATCACACACACGCACACTTATTACAGTTATGCCTCACTCAGAGGGTCCGAATAAATATACAGTCCCAAATAAATATTACAGTCCCGAATAAAATACAAAATCCTAATTAATTTACAAATTAATCTAGGAAAGCTATAAACTGGCATGCAAACCAGGGACTGCCTTGACTCTGTGAATGATGTATGCCTGGGCTGCCTTGCGCGGAA